ATAAATATCTGATAACAAACATATTTTGATATCAAATTACTAAAAGTTTTTAAATTTTTTTATGAGAAAAATTATTTGATAGTTAAAGAAGTAGAAGCTATTTAATATTCGATTACAAACTTTATTTCATATTTAATTGCAAACCTTATTATATAATAATAACGATGTTTACAAAGCCTTTGATTACAAAAAAATCGGAAATTTTGTCCCCTTATTTGCATAATTAAAATTAAAATTTCAATTTCGTCTCGATGTGAAATTCAATTGAAGCATTGTTTTTTTATGTCTTATTTTTGAAGAGCTCGTGGATTTAAAAATCGCATTTTTTGGAGCTTGAGTAGCCAAGTATAGTTTTGAATAAAACGAAGCTATAATTATGAATTAAAATGAAGCTAGAGTCATGAATTAAAATGAAGCTACAGTTATTAATTAAAATGAAGCTAGAATTATTAATTAAAATTAAGCTAGAATCATGAATTAAAATTAAGCCAGATCATGAATTAAAATGAATATAGAATCATGAATTAAAGTGAAGGTAGAATCATTAATTAAAATTAAGCTGGAATCACGAATTAAAATGAAGTTAGAGTCATGAATTAAAGTGAAGCTTAAATTCTGAATTTAAATGAAGCTAGAATCATGAATTAAAAAGAAGCTTGAATCATGAATTAAAATGAAGCTAGAGTCATGAATTAAAGTGAAGCTTAAATTCTGAATTTAAATGAAGCTAGAATCATGAATTAAAATTAAGCTAGAATCATCAATTAAAATGATGTTTGAATCGTGAATTAAAATGAAACCAGAGTTATGAATTAAAATTAAGCTAGAATTATGAATTAAAATGAAGCTAGAATTATAAAAAGAAGCGTTAGACTCCACGACCATTTTTCTGTTATTTTGTGCTTGGTAATTTCATGACGACTTCTAATATTGCACTTTATGTAGTATTGTTTAGAAGAAGTATTTTAATGTTGTCTTCAACAAGAGTTCTTTAATTCTTCTAAGTAAAGTAGTCTTTCTAAATTTCTTAGAGGTCTTGTAAAAGAAGGTTGTTAGGAGGAACGATCGCTGACCTGATATGTAATGCTGGTTAATTAGACGTACTCAATGACCTCTGACACGCACGCTACCTCTTCACTGCATTACAAGTCTTGTAATCTCATTACCTTCCGCCCCCCTGCAGTCTCATTACCTCCCCGTCCCCTGCCGTCTCATTACCTCCCCGTCCCCTGCCGTCTCATTACCTCCCCGCCCCCTGCCGTCTCATTACCCTCCACCAGCCCTCTAATTAACTCCACTGATAGACGAAGTGTGCAGCTACTTAACTACAATTGACCTTCCCTTAAAGATTATAAGCAACGCTGGCCTAGAATGGGTTAATGAGAAGGCGATGTGTTAATGGGATCGGTAATGGGTGCAGTAATCGCATATAAATATGGTCATGAAGTTTGATATCATTACGTGCATCATGACAGCTGTTATCAACATCATTATGATAGCTGTTATCGTGTTATCATTATGACAGCTAATATCGTTATCATTATGATAGCTGTTATCTTTATCATTATATCAGCTGCTATCATTATCATTATGACAGTTGTTACCATTATCATTATGACAGCTGTTATCATCATCACTATTATAGCTGTTATCATTATCATCATAACAGCTGTTATCATCATCACTATTATAGCTGTTATCATTATCATCATAACAGCTGTTATCATTATCATCATAACAGCTGTTATCATCATCACTATTATAGCTGTTATCATTATCATCATAACAGCTGTTATCATTATCACTATTATAGCTGTTATCATTATCATCATAACAGCTGTTATCACTATCATCATAACAGCTGTTATCATTATCATCATAGCAGCTGTTATCATCATCACTATGACAGCTCCCACTAGATTACCAGTACCCCCACTTGATTGGATCTCTCCCTTAACCCATACCCCCCTCCTAATTCTTGGGGACTTGGACAGCTTCTGATGCCGGGGATTCTTTGACGCGCTCCTGATATGAACTTCACCTACCTCCCCCACCCCATTCCTCTTCGTCCCCCTTCACTCCCCTCCTCCCCATCCCCTCTTCCTCTTACCCTCCCACCTTCCTCCTCACCCTCCTCCCTTCTTCTCCCCAATCGCCCACCTTTTCCTCCTCCATCCTCATTCTCCCCCACACCCGCCCCCTCCTACATCCTCCCGGTTTACATCCTCCTCCTACACACCCCACTTCTTTTCCTTCCTCCCTCTCACCTTTCCACCTTCCTCCTTCCCCTTTTACCCTCTCCCCTTATCTTTACTCTCCTCTTCACCACTCACCCTCCCCTTCACCCTCGACTCCATCAAAGCAAATTTGAGCCGCAATCCAAATCCAAAAAATATACACGCATGACGGCACGGTACGCTGGTTGGCATCACACGTGTACAGGGAACACGTCTACGCATCTTGTTATTATTAATAATAAGTAATGATGACAAGTACCTGTGTTATTTAGAATAATAAAAAATTATAATGAAATATTTCATTCGTGCACACGAATGAAGCTATAGCCTTTATCAGCCATTATAACTAGTTGACACGTGGCAGTAATTTTTTAGCCCCTTTCCTCGCGGGTTTTTATGGACAATGTCAAGCAAAGAGGATATTAGGAAGCCTGTTCTCTTGAAGCTTACTGAGAAGCCAGCCAAAATTAGGAAGAATATTTAGGAAAATTCCGGCCGAAAACTCGGTGCTGGGTTTCTGAAAATCCTGCAGGGTTTGACGAAGCATAAATGCTAGTATGAAGTCTTGACATCCTTACTATTTATGTTTATGGACTAGCAGCACATGTGCTAGTACTAGTTACCTTTGCTAGACTATTCTGCAGATATGAGAATAATGTTAGTCTGAATCCCATTTGGTTGCAAAACCCGTTACTGACTTTCGAAGTAAAAAGATATTGACGAGAAATATGAGAGGCTCGTGCAAACCATTTCATGACTCCCATACCGGCGCGAAGGCCTGCTCTCAACTTATCTGGATAAAAACCACGCGTTGATAGTCGTTGCGCTATGGAAACGCAGCCACTGGGCCACAATTTTAATTCGTAACCCTCTACCGCCGTATATGTCACTCTCCGAGAACATAACTTTCAACTTAAATTATATGTATACTATTGAGTGTAACAACCTGAAGACGTTTGTTCGCAACAGAGAACAGTTTAAAGTTGTCGTACGTGGCGGCAACCATCAGTGCAAGTCATTTTGCGCTCACTATAGAAGGTTTCCTTTTTGGGGAATAATCTTGTGACAATATTGCTCCGGTTACTCATGTCAGGCGGTAGAGAGTTAAATAAGCCCTGGATCCAAAACCTTGCCTCAGCATGCAACAATTGCATTCAGTCTCAGAGCTAGAAGCCTCGGACTACACTGTAACTCCGTAATCCATACAAGTGACACACTGTTTAAAAATAATTCGCCGGAGGTCTTCAGCGAAGTCTTAGACGTGCTCGATCAAAAGCAGGCAGTTTAGAAACCGGCCTCGCCTACACTGGCCTAACCTATACACGCTGCTCCGACTCACAACTTTTGCAGCCAATGACTGGCTCTACCAGTACACTTGCCCTCCTCTCTATAATAACTTCCTGCAGCCAATAAGGTTAGGTTACGTCTGCTCTTGTTTATTTCGGGTTGAGAAATGTTAGAACCTGTGTAGGTTAGGCCAGAAGAGGTTAGGCTGGAATAGTTGAGGCCTAGCTGGCCTCCAGCATGCACCCCGGCCATTCCGTTATAGGAGTCTACGCGTTTTTCGTTCTTACGTTAGGGTACGCACACAGTGAAAGCAGGTTGCCAGTGTGCTGGTTACCTGCTCAGGCTGGCGCCTGAAACTATAGAATACAGAAGCCTATTCGTACAGGTTTTCACTGTGAACACTTACATTATTATCCTACGTTCATTCTTGTGGCAGGTTGGAGCAGGTTGCCCGCGCGGGCAAACCTGCTTCCACTGTGTGCGTACCCTTACATAAGAATTGACGCGTTGGTTGTTACGTTATAAGAATTGATGCGTTGGTTGTTACGATACAAGAATAATGATGCATGGGTTGTTGATACGTTGTAAAACTTAACGTTCTCTTACACCCTGGCATGACAGGGCGGGGCGGCGGCGCGAGGTGCACGCGCAGCTTCTGATCTTCACAGTTGTGCCTGAACCTCGCGCCGCTACTGCTATTACAGCTACTACTACTGCTACCGGTGCTACTACTGCTGGGGCTACTTCTACTACTGCTGAGGCTACTTCTACTACTGCTGGGGCTACTTCTACTACTGCGGGGGCTACTTCTACTACTACTGGGGCTACTTCTACTGCGCTGCTGCTACCGCAACCTACATTACTTAGATTCTACTTCTTCTTCCACTGCGGCAACTCTTCGTTCTTAAAATCTGTTCTACCAAGAGAAGTAACACTCCGACAAAAACATGAAAAACCAATGGCATGTTCTTCGTTTGTTCTAGCCATGACATATTCTTCGTGGTCGTCAACCATGACATGTTCTTCGAAAGCATTACCCAGAACATGCCCGAGTCATGGCGGCATCCCGAGTCAATAATTTGCCTTTAGTACATTCCCCTCTGCCCCCCGCCGGTGGGCTTTTAAAAAGTGCATTTCCAATACCATGTTCCCAAGATCTAAGTTGATGAAAATGACACAACTCAGATAGGTTTTGCTACGATAAATATTTACCTCGTAAGTGTCGTGTCGTGTGTGTGCCTTTCATTCCTGAGACTCGGGCCAACTTGTTAGTTTAGCGGATGAACTTGTTAACTTAAATAAGTAGTCCTCCAGCCCCCACACCCCTCCGGTCCAAAAAGACCTGCACCGCATTCACTAGACTTCAGTGAATGACTTCTCCTTCAAGACCTGCGACCTGAGCACGCAAAGTTGAAAGATAAGCTAGAATAAGTTGACGATTAGAGTGACAGTTATAACTTAGTGAAAAATCACGAAATAATGTATGTGGAAAGTGACAATAAAAGATGAATAAGACGGAAACCCTAAGGAAGTCTCATCTAACACGTAGAAAAGTTGACTGTATGTCAGAATAACAGTCATGACTTACTGAATCATGCGAAATAATATAAAAGGAAGTTGACAATAAACGAAAGAATAAAAAGAATCCTAAAGAGAAATCTCACGCAATGAACAAACTGCGGCACTCGCTTATGCGGTCCCGCACGCCCACGGGCGCGGAGATGAAGCACCAGAACAGCCTGGAAGTCCCCGTCCCTCAGGTCAGGTCGGCGTCCTTCGATGAAGTCCAATACAAAGGAAGGCCCCGGGACCCATGCCACCTTATGGGGACTGCGACGAAGGCCATGAGGCCTCCCCATGCCGGTGAAGGAGGGGGTAGTAGTGGGGTCAGTGTCATCGGATCACAGGGGACGTCACTGGAGGTCCCGGGAAGCTCCTCCACGAGTTCGTCTTTCCTCCTGAAGGTGCCGTACTTAGTTCCTAAAAGATCCAAGTCTTTTGACTCGGGGTGCGGGGAGGACGAGGATGGGGGTGAGGTGCACCCCAAACGAGGGATGCGTACTCCCTCCTACGACCGGGCCGCCCATTGTATTCATTGCGCGTACCTCGAAATTATCGAAAAGCGAAGATCGTCCCGATTGACGTTTGCGTTTTCCGATAAAAGCACATCGAAGGAAGACGATGAGGCAGATTGGGAGAACAGCAGTGATGACCTAAACGCAGTAATGGGTGGAATTAAGGTGACTTTAAGTCCAAATTCCCCATCTGCGACCTCTCCAACCCATGAAGACGACATTGCGGCACCCACGCTGCCGAGAATCTGCCGCGCCAACTCTCCGAAACTGGAACGGCAGCCTGCGATTTACTGCATGCCATCCATGCCGGCAGACCTCAGTTCCCAAGAGAACAGCGTAGACTTCAGCGATGGCGTCGAGAGTTACCATGGATCCATAGGATACCTAGGATCCTCCAGCGAATACGGTGATGCAGAATCCTGCGCTGCCAACTTTGGTGACACCGAGAACGTAAGCGACGTCAGTTCACACGTGACGTACACCGGCGACGTTTTCTTGAACGTACCCACGAAGCTGGATCGCGCCGTGTCCTTAGATATGGCGTTCTCTTCGTCATATCCTACGTCGTTCGCCGACTCCAGAGGTCGTCAGGCTCAGCATTCCGGCTCTGGAATTCCGCGTTCCATTTCCCTGGAGCCGCCGCAGGCTCTGCGATCCAAGAGCATCGACATTGAGCTGCCGACCGACAGCGACGACGATTATAAAGTCTTTCTCACGGCCTCACAGACCACTAAGTAAGAACCTCTTGCAGCTCCAGCACCATTTATACCGCACTGTAAGACTCCCTTACAGCTCTTATGCCGCACTGTCTTCGTAATAAATAAGAGTCTTATAGCTCCCATGCCGCACTGTCTTCATGATAAATAAGAGTCTTACAGCTCTTAAGTCGCACTGTCTTCATGATAAATAAGAGTCTTGCAGCTCCTATGCCGCACTGTCTTCATGATAAATAAGAGTCTTACAGCTCTTATGTCGCACTGTCTTCATGATAAATAAGACTCTTACAGCTCTCATGCCGCATTGTCTTCATGATAAATAAGAGTCTTGCAGCTCTTATGCCGCACTGTCTTCATGATAAATAAGAGTCTTAATTGCAGCTCTTATGCCGCACTGTCTTCATGATAAATAAGACTCTTACAGCTTTTATGTCGCACCATCTCCACAGTAAGTGAGAGTTTTTTTGCAACTCCTATACCACACTTCACAATAAGTCTCTTGCTCTGTCTTCACGCAGTTCCTTGCGTACATTGGATTGCTTTCGTGCGTTTCTTTGCGAGCCTTTATTTGATTTTACGCGTTTTGTAGTTATTTGGTAAATAGGAATTCTCAAAGGTTGCAGTTCGCCGTCGTAAGTCCCCTGATAGTAAGCTTCGTCCCCTGTCAGATTTACGTCCAACATCTGCCGATAATTGGGGTAAGTTTTCTTTGCTGGTACAAAACTGGAGTCAGTTCAGTGCTGGCACAAAACTGGAGCCAGTTCAGAACTGGTACAAAACTGGAGTCAGTTCAGTGCTGGCACAAAACTGGAGTCAGTTCAGTGCTGGCACAAAACTGGAGTCAGTTCAGTGCTGGCACAAAACTGGAGTCAGTTCAGTGCTGNACCATCTGTTGACTAACACCAACCATCTGTTGACTAACACTGACCATCTGTTGACTAACACCAACCATCTTTTGACTAACACTGACCATCTCTTGACTAACACCAACCATCTGTTGACTAACACTGACCATCTGTTGACAAACACTGACCATCTGCTGACTAACACTAACCACCTGTCAACTAACACCAACCATCTGTTGACTAACACCAACCATCCGTTCACTAACACCAAGCATCTGTTCACTAACACCAACCACCTGTCAACTAACACCAACCACCTGTCAACTAACACCAACCATCCGTTCACTAACACCAAGCATCTGTTCACTAACACCAACCATCTGTCAACTAACACCAACCATCTGTCAACAGGAAGGCCATCAACAGCGAGGTTGAGATCTGTTGCGAGGGCGGGGAGCGGCGCGTGATCAGGGCGACGTGCGACTGGCAGGCGACGGCCGTCAACGGCGACCACTTGTGGTGCCCCACTAGCGCGTCCGGGGACTTCTGCTACGTCGGGGAGGAGTCTTGTTGTGTGGGTATCCTTTAGTATCCTTTAATGTCCCTTATTATCCCTTAGTGTCCTTTGTATCTGAAGTCGTGTTGTGTGGGTATCCTTGGTATCCTTAGTGTCCCTTAGTGTCCTTTGTATCTCTTAGTATACCTTAGTGTCCTTAGTATCCTTTGTATCCCTTAGTATCCTTAGTATGCTTAGTAACCTTAGTATCCCTTAGTATCTCTAGAATCCCTTAGTATCCCAGGCATATTTAGTATGTGTTCGGACGTATTAGTCCCAGGCTACGCTGCAGCGCCGCCTTGTTATTCTGCCGCCCTGAGGGCAGTCGTCCTTACTTCCGAGGTCTCAGAGGCTATAGTCAATGACTAACGTGCATCTGCCCTCGGTTGGGCCAGCTGATGCCCTCAGTTGGGCCAGCTAATGCCCTCAGTTGGGCCAGCTGATGTACCATGTTATTGCTTGCTTCTTACGCCGTAATGAGCGCAGACTCGGAAGATCAATAATTATGCCAAGGAACATGTACATTCCTAACTTGATGGCCTCTGATCAGTCTGGTCATTATTTTCCTGATGTACAGAATGATGACACATTCAACCCAATGGGTGGATAGCGCAAGGTTGCAAGAAGTACTGGATGCAAAATATGACTGGCTCAAGTGAACAACACTCAATTCAACGGAACAACGTTTTCATTTCTGTTATACAGAAACTCGAGTCGAGAAGAAATACCGCTATCGTCACTGGACGACACAGAAATTAAGAAGAAGTAAATCATTCACGAACTTGGAGTTAAGATGAATAATAAATGCGCTTTTAGCTACCATATAGTGGCAAAACTGCAACAGGCATGCAACAGATAGGGTGGATCTTGCGAACGTTCAAAACATGAGAAGTAGAACCGATGATCGCACTCTTCAGAGCCCTTGTGATCCTTCTCCTCGCGGTACTGCTGCCAGCTTTAGACCCTTTTCACGCTGTGTGCAGTGCGGCGGCTAAAGCGGTCCAGAAAACCTTCACGTACAGGATCAGCGGGATAGATTAGCCGGACTACTGGGACAGGTTGGAGTGTCTGGGCCTAACTCACTGCTAGAGATGACGGGAGAAGTAAGCCATTCGTTACACAAGGTTTATATTGACCTAACTTTGAAAGCGAGAACTTCAGGATTGTTAAATGCCGCTGCAAGAGATGGAGACCATGCAGGATACCCCCCATAACACAACAGAGTTGCGGTTAGATTTTAATCTCTACGAGAAGCATCGCTTTCCGCAGAGGAACTGACGTTTCACCGCGTTGCCGATGTTACTGGGAAGGGAAGAGTGCAGCTTACAGACTTTCAGAGACGCCTGGAACGGTCCCTGCTCGTCGGCCTCAGGCTTCGTACATCCGCTGGCCCAACTTAGGGTATCAGCGGGCCCAACTGAGGGGACCAGCTGTCTGACGGAGGGCCTCAGCTTGCCCCACAGAGAAAATCAGCTGGCCCAACTGAGGACATGAAGTGACCCAACTTAGGGCAGATGTGCGGTAGTTTATCCCCCGGGACCTTGAGGTCTAGGACCACATGCCTGATTAAGCTGGAATAATAAGACAGAGTCCATAGTTTGGCCTGGGACCTGGGACTGCTCCGTCCGAAATGCTTACCAAATATACTCAAATTTATTGCAATATTTTCATATAAGTTTTTACACATAAATAATAGTTATTTTCATGTTTGATCAAAATATACCAATTAAATGAAAGCCTAACGCACAAATTTCTGGAGCAGAAAAATGGCGCGCGGCTCAAGTGCAGCGCGTGCAAGATCGTCGCGCACACTCACTGCGTGCCCACTCTGCTGGAGGGCGTCAAGTTCACATGCAAACCCACCTTCAGGGATGTGGGTTTGCGCCAGTACAGGGAGCACACCACAACCCACCACCACTGGGTCCACAGACGCAACCAGAAGGGAAAATGCAAGGCCTGCAATAAGGTGGGTTGGGGGGCAATAAAGTGGGTTGGTGGGCAATAAGGTTGGTTGGGGGGCAATAAAGTGAGTTGATTAGCAATAAGGTGGGTTGGTGTCAATAAGGTGGGTTGGTGGGCAATAAGGTGGGTTGATGGGCAATATGGCGGGCAATTAAGTGTTTTAGGATAATGTGCGCGATGAGGTGGGTTGTCCGCGGTGTGCAAGGTGGGGAAGGGAAGAGTGGGTGCTAGGAGGGTCAATCAGCGATCTTATTATGAAAGCTTTGGGTTCAACGTGGATGCCGGCAGCATCAATGATTGAGCGTTATTGATGAGATTGTTATTACATTCTGCTGGTGGGTGCTAGTGGGTAATGGTGAGGCTAGTGAGTGCTAATGGGTGCTGGTTGGGGCCTAGGGGTGCTAGTGGGTACTGTTCTAACCTCAGATCCTACCCTCACATCCTACCCTCACATCCTACCCTCACATCCTACCCTCACATCCTACCCTCACATCCTACCCTCACATCC